ATATACACATATACACACACACACATATATACATGTATGTATATGTGCGTGTGTGTGTGTGTGTGTGTGTTGTACCATGTTTTTATAACAAAATTGTTTCGTACCATTTTTTTCATTCCTTCGTCAAATGCAGTCACCAACTTATTAAGTACTTAAGTCAAGAACACTTACATTTCAAGATCTTTGGCTACAAAACGACTACTTCAAAGACTCGGTGCTCTTGTTTCCTTTTTTTTCAATATTATAGGTAAATTATCAATTTTTGCCATAATAATAGCAATATAATTCATTAAAAAACCTTGCTCAAATTATAACTTTATTTGAGAGGTGTTTATAAGACATATGATACGACGCGCCATGAATGTGAATGAGATTTTATGCACGCTTATAACAGCTGTCATTGTGTCATTTGCTCAGTTATGACATTGTAAATGTTTAGATGACATTATCATGACAACTTGACATTACCAAGACAACAAAACTTGTCAAATAATCTGTCATAAACATGATTGTCATGAAGCCATTATATATAATTCATTAATTTTATAGTAGTGTAAAATATTTTGACCTCCACTACAGTGGTACAAGCTGAATTTGTCATTCCAATGTCATTAAATATTAATTACACTCTAAATTATTGTGACAGAGTAATGACAATTTAAAATAAGACATTTTAATGACAAAAACAGTTTGTTCCACAGAAAACCATATCAGAAATATAAAATTCGTGAAAATTATAATGCCCTTATGACAATCATATTTGACAGAATTATGTTAACGTCGAGTTGTCATGAAAGACGAAGACTGGTTGTACTGTATTCATGTCAAGTTGTCATAACAAACAATGTCATATTTGCATTTATAATAAGATAACTGAGCAAATGGCAATCTATTTTTAATATTAAACGTGTTAATATTATTATTATTATTATTAAATAATTAAATTTTATTTTATATTTTAATTTTTATTTAATTTAATTGACATGTCAACTTTTATTATTAAGTAAACGCTGTCAGAACAGTAAACTCTAAAAGCACATGCACACTTGCTCCAGTGGTTAATTTAGTTTTCTGTTTGCCACACTTTCAGCTGCCATGGGTGCCATCTTTGGTATGACCACTTGTATAAGTGCACAGATCAGAGATGAACCTGACAGCCCAGCTAACTATTTCATTGGTGGATGTGCTTCAGGTGTATTCCTTGGTGCACGGAGTAAGTACAGTATTTTAATGCTTATATCATTATCTGAGGTAACTGTTTTTTGTATTTGTCTAACAAGGTTTTTTTATGTTCCCTTAGCACACAGTCCTATGACAGGTACTATGGCTTGTGTTGGTCTGGGAACTGTGGCAATGCTAACAAAAGTTGGAAAAATGGAAGGCTGGAAACTCACAGGATCCCCAAAGCTGTGAACTGAGATGTACCCTAGTACTTGATTTGTTTATATTGTATACTGCTCAAATAAATGTATTAAGAAAAAAATGTCTCTTTAACTTCCTGTCACTGCTTTTACTGCATTATGTGTAGCTTTTACCATACATTAGTGTAATGGTACATTTATTATAGATAACAAACATTCACAGATACCAGTCAGTATGTTAAAAAAATGACAGAACTTAAACCCCTGCACACATGAAAATTGTTATTTTACTGGGTTTTTTTTATGGGAAGTAGGTTTGCATGTGCTGGTAGGCTGTAATTTTTTATTTATTTTTTTATTTTATTTATTTTATTTTATTTTTTTTAGGTGAAGCATATTTATTCATTGAAATTATGAGATAAGAATGAATACATTTTCTGGTTAAGTAAATTTATTTTTATTAACTATAAATAACTCGAGGGTTGTAAACAGGATGTTTATAAACAGTTAATAGCCTGTTTAATGGTTTGTGTTCGACATTTCATGAGAAATACCCTGTATATGTGTAATATTTGGACTTTCTTCACTTACATGTATAGATGCTTTTATGCAATGTTTTGCGTTACATTTTACAAATGCATGTGATGCTATTACTCCAGACAAAATGGTTCTACCATACCAAATTAGGGTTCTACAGTACCAATAGCAGATACCAGTTCAGGAAGTCTGACAGTACAACCGTTATCTGAGCACATAAATGATAATTGACACTGAACATAAATAAAATGAAGTCGAACAGAATCATGATCAAAATAAAATGCCTTTTTATCCACTGTTATGAACGTATTTAGATACAATATAATATTTTACAAAATGTATTTTGATGGCCGGAGAAATCAAAAATAGACAGTAAATTTGACAGCAAAGTCATGTCAGTTCATATTTATGCATAAACCCAAGTAATAATTAGGAATAAAAATATCTTTGCTTACTCAGTAAAAAAGGCATACTCTCAACTAGCTGCATGGTCAATCATTTTTTAAACTATAAACGCAATAAAAAAAAACATGTTTAATTTTACATAAGACATAATTTACCAGTTGAGAGGGTGCTGAGAGTCTGTAAATGCTTGAGCTCCAGAAACCAATAAGCTGCAGGTGTTTTGTCAGTTAAAGATTTGAAATCGAAAAAGGCGGGAAATAAAGAACCCTAAACTCGCATGAAGATCCATATCAGCATAAAATAGTTCTTCAGGACAATATCTCAATATCTAGAACAATTAGCTTTAGATAACCATTTAAGGACCCCTTCCAAATCTTTGATTTCATATTTAAGATTTGACTGACTGCATCGCCGAAACCTCAGAGGCTGAAATCAAAAAAAAAGGAGCGCGAGTTGAATTCTGAGGCGATCTCATTTGGGTAAGGTAAAGTTCATCATATCAGTATAAAACGCTGTTAACACTAAAGATGAGCGTACCCATTTTGAGCATACAACACAAGTTTTATTTTATTTATACACCAATTCCTATTTTTTATTTATTGCATAAAATAATAGCATATTAGCTGCATGAAGCAAAACTATATAGCCCTTATTATCGCCTAATTATAACAACGTTCAGACTTCAATCATTTTTCACAACTAAAATTACATAATTTTAACTATGGAGATATTTTCATGACTTATTCTTTAATTTTAATCTTCACTATGTTATTAGGTTAACCTGAGTAACACCAGTATTGCTTTGGATTTAGTGTGTACAGGAATTCAGTATTCATAAAAATAACTTGTTTCTCTTTTGTTTTAGTATAAATTTTGTACAATACACAGCCTACAGAAAGTCCTGAAGATAATATTTGTTTGCAATTGAACTCTTCAATACACAATGTAAAACATGATTTCAGAAAACCACTATACAGTAAACTACATTATTGCCCCTTTACGACTTATATTAATGTTGCTGTCTTATGTGTATGTTGTTTGGCATCTACATCCAATCCACAGCTATTTGTTATACAAAATTTATTTGTACTCAAGATTTTTCAGTTCCTCAACTGGAAGAGTCTCAGTTTGCCCTCTTAAAAACACCAGTACACCATCTTTAGGTGTTTTTCATTTATTTCTAAATTTATCTGCCATTTTCACCTGCAGCACTAAGACTAATTATGTTCTGAAGCTCCTCTGATTGCTGATTGATTGATTGATTGATTGATTGATTGATTGATTGATTGATTGATTTATTGATTGATTGATTGATTGATTGATTGATTGATTGATTGATTGATATCAATTGATTGATGATTTCCATTCATACTCAAAGCATTGACCGCCTTCTTAAAAATAAGTCAATTTTCACTTCTGATCTTAGACAAATAACTGAGAAAGCACCATTTAAAGGCTGTATTTTTTCATGATGTCAGTAACTGTAGACTTCTTATTTTGAAACTACACAAATACAAGACACTAATACATTTTTGAGAAAAATATTAAATAATTTTTTATAAAACCTTATGAAATACAAATAAGGCTACAAACCTATTTTGTATATGAAATACGTTTTTGGAATATGTAAATGCATCGTAAATACTTTCCATCCCTGGCATGCAGTATACGACTGAGTAATCTATACTTGTGGATGCTCATGTTTTATTGATAAGAAGTTTTTTCTCGCGAGTTATTTGTGTAACCACAAGATGGCGCCATTGTTGTTTTAGAGAAAACGTTTCCAGAGCAATTCACACCACTCATGATTTCATTAATCATTTTAAAAGCATAAATACTTTCAGATTTCAGAATCCAAAATATTCATGTGAGACTTAAAGTTCCTCCAAGTTTAATTAGCATGAGTAGTTGAGTTTATATTACCGGTCTAGGCCTTGAACAGATAGCTCATGTTCTGGAACTTTCTTTTCGTTCCACCCAAGTAGTACAATCACTGGTTTCTGGGGTGGTCTCCTCTGGCACAAAATAGAGGTGTGTGGCAAAGTAAGAGCTGGAAATCCTACAGCAGTGCCTGAGAATCTCCTAATACGTGTGTTAAAAACCAGCAGAGCTCAATTATCACCAGAATGAAGACCGTTCCAAGGTGTTAGATTTTTACTACAGGCCCGCTGAGTTCACTGGACCGTATATTTACAGGTGATTAGCACAGCGGTTACTGGGAGACTTTTAAATTATTAATGAGATGTGAGAAACAGCTGTTTGCAGTTTATTTGGTTTCAGCAGTTGGAGCTAGCCGGGAAAACACAAGAATCTTGGAGATTGATCTATTAGCTTTGGCATTTTCTATGTTGACAACCACAGCGCAAAAAAGTGTTGATTATATCCAATAGGCTAAATGGTGTCATTGGCTTGTTGGATCTTCAAAACAATCTTCTAATAATTTAATCATGGCATCGATTTCAAAACATTCGTTTTAAGAGCAGACATTTCATTTTTAATGGCTGTTATACTACATTTTCAGAATTTTATCGAAGTGTTCCTAGCATGTTTGATATTCTGAAATCTGACAAGAAATTAAAGCACTAATTAAACGAATAATAACAAAGCAGAAAAAACGAAAGGCGTTGAAAGGCGTGTCAATCCAGTGTTATTGTCTCCACTCATGGGTCTAATTAGGGTTGCTATGTGAAATTTGGCTCTTAGTGACATCATGTGACTGTATTAATGAGCTGGAAACTATTGAGTGCCATTTTTTATTGAACAGATTACAGCTCCAACAGCACTGGCAGTGCCTTTAGAGAATCCAAAGCCATTGAAGTGGATTTCGCAAGAGTTAAAAAACAATTAGAACTTTAAAAGTGTGTAATGTTTTATGTTAAAAAGGCCAGATGCTGTTACAGCATGATCCAGCAGGGGGTTTCAAACGTTTTGATGTCAAAGACCCTCCTAATCATGAGCCTTTCTTGAGTAACCAATTTTTATCACATTCTCAATACAATTCGGCAAGCTGGCAGTGGAGTTTTATGAATTTGTACAATGTGCTTATGGCCGACTGAACATTTTTGTGTTTTGTATTTACAACAGTACTTTTTGGATCTGTAAACATACCAATGTATTGCCCCTCAACCCATAATTAATCTTGCTAACACAACATTTTGATGACGTTTTCATAGAAGTAAGATTTTCAGTCCCCAAGAAGACTTTATAAGTATAGTTCATTCATTCATTTTCTTGTCGGCTTAGTCTCTTTGTTAATCTGGGGTCGCCACAGCGGAATGAACCGCCAACTTATCCAGCAAGTTTTTACGCAGCGGATGCCCTTCCAGCCGCAACCCATCTCTGGGAAACATCCACAGACACACTCATACACTACGGACAATTTAGCCTACCCAATTCACCTGTACCGCATGTCTTTGGACTGTGGGGGAAACCAGAGCACCCGGAGGAAACATGCAAACATGCATGCAAACATGCAAACTTCACACAGAAACGCCAACTGAGCCGAGGCTCGACCCAGCGACCTTCTTGCTGTGAAGCGACAGCACTACCTACTGCTCCACTGCTTTTCCTTTTATAAGTATAGTTCATCCAAAAATGAACATTCTGTCATCATGTAATCCTCCACAACCTGTTTGTTTCTTTCTTCTGCCGAACTCGAAGATATACTGAAGAATTCTGAAAAAACAGACGTTGACTTCTATAGTATTTATTGTTCTAAATATGAATGTCAATGGCTGCTTTTCCCCCAGCATTATTCAGAAAATTTAGTTTTGTGTTCAACAGTTAAAATAATTCACACAGATTTTGGGTGAAGTGTCACTCATAAGACCATTATGACAACACAGAATCTTTAGCTTTGAGGGTCTGCATAAAAAGTCTTTGCTGCTTTAAGCCATGGTCACACTAGAGTTTGAGATTGCAAAATTCTGTTGTATGGCGCTGCAAAAAGTGGCGGGATAAAGCAAGATTATTAGACATTAACTAACGAAAGTATTCATAGCGCTTCACTTTTTTCACAGTTTTTTATGTTACAGCCTTATTCCAAAATGGATTAAATTCATTTGTTTCCTCAAAATTCTACACACAATACACCATAATGACAATGTGAAAGAAAGAGTTTTTGAGATTGTTGCAATTTTATTTAAAATAAAAAAACTGAAAAACCACATGTACAGAAGTA